AACTGATCTTCCTTGTAGATAAATAGATGTTTACCTATCACTGGGAATGTTGTACTTCAGGATAGATCATGAAACATTCTTTTTGATGACTGCGAGGCCATTTTTCTTTGATTTCTTATTTCTGGCTGAGCAAACCCTATAATTGTCTGATGCAAAATGCCTACCACCTGGCAGTTCAGCTCACTAATGTCTTGGACATGTCTCTATATATTGCATTTCATTTTTGAGGACTTCATTTTCTTAGATTCATACTTCATACATTCCATGTTCAAATTGCCAGCTGATGTCTTTCTTCTCCTTCTGAGTTCTGCCACACAAGGAGATGACGGCTTCAAAAGCTACGCTCCACCATGTCACCCAGGCCAGCTCTGCTTTGAAGCATAGACCTTGGCCGTCAACTTTCCAGTGCCTTCCAACCTGAAGGCCTCGTCTTCAGCACTGCATCACACAATGCTCCACAGCTCTTCATAAGGTTTTATTGGACTTCTGCTTTTTCCTTAAGGAAATCACCAGACCCTTCTTAGCTGGTCTTAAGTTGCAAGCTTTGCTGAAACCCTGGGGCCACCATGGTGAGCCTCCTGGTATTTTAAAGACTGGTGGCACAGCTTCCAACATCAGAGTAATATGCTGGTCACACCAGTAAGGCAAACTGACAGAACAGTGGGGAGAGTAAAAGTAGTCATCATGAGTCATATCTTGGACAAAAAGGTACAGCCATCATCAACCCCTAGTAGATACTGTCTCTGGAAAACTGATAGTTATATCAGGTACCAATTTAGGAGTTTTCCACTATAATCTAATCACAGTAATAGATAATTGCATCAAGATTTGGTATCAGTCATTGTTTGAAGGATATTGTGACTGATCTATTTATTGATCATCAGTGGTGGGATCTGGGCAGAGGCCAATCAGTAGGCTCTGTACCTAGCGAGCTTGTGAACACAATTTGGGATTTCTTGGGGTTGCAATGCTCCTAACCAATCAGACTGTGTTTCTTGGAGCCAGCAAATAGTAAGTAATACATTGACTCCTTCATAGCCAAGGGGAATTCTAATATGTATACCTCCATATGAACAGTTCACTTGATCAAATGCCTGTAATTACGAGGTTCATAATTAAGATAGATGAGAAATTAATGAAGCAGCAATTTATCCTGCCTTGATTTTTAGTTAAAATGTAACAAAATCCTACTTCATTGCCATCTAGATTTATATTTAGTGATTAAATGTTAGTAAAGCATGCTTTAATTGTTCACTACATGTGAGCTAAAGCATTTCAGCTTCTATCATTACAATTCTTAAGGGTGGTTTTACTTTTATACAAAATTTACTGTTTATACAATATTCCTTTGGCTTAGACTGTTAGTGTCTAAGCTGTGTCATTTCTGTGCTAAATGGCATGTCCTCAAGTTCTCTAGGCCGGTGCTAATTCAGGTGGGCTACTCTTATTTGCTTTGAGACTGAACGTGTGTTGGTTTTTGTCATGGCAATTCTAATATTACAGAACCAAACAGTTCCATTGGGTTTTCTTGGCTGTGATCTTAATGAAAGCAGATCACTAGGCCTAATCTACTGTGGGGCCATTGGATGGGTTCAAACCAGTGACCGTTAGGTTGTCAAACTAAAACTGTATCACAGGGGTCCCTTGTTTGAGAGCAGGATTGCTTTCTTAGAAATCTCCTGAGTCTTCATAGCCTCTCTGGGGCAGAGCACATACTTTCCTCCCAGTGAATACACACATAAATTGATCTCATAATATTGCCATGCTCACTGAGGGAAGCTGCATAGTTGGAGATTTTTGAGTTTGAAATATTAGATTTCCCAGTGTAGAACAAATTAAAATGAATAATAGAGTCTGTTCTAATACGAGTAAATTAATATTCATTCAATGAATCAGCGTGTACTGTTTTGCCCCTTTGGAGTTTAAATTATCCAAATATTTATTTTCATCTTTCTATTTGTTTGGGTTACAGAGAGACGGCCTCAGGGTTTCCACATAATCAAATTCTTGTGAAAATAAATGAATAGTAAAATCATGGGAAATTTTTCTTTTTCGAGTGCATATGATATCATCTGAATGGCTACATTTTAAAATACGTCTTCTTTGTAACATATACTTTAATATTCAGTATACTTTTAATATATACTTATATGCAAGATACACATCTTACACATGCAAAACAAACCCTTCACAAAATAAATCAGCAAATATATTTGGAAAATAACCCATCGGGATGTAGTATTATATTTGGGAGGGGGAATTTAAAATATATTTTTCCTTCATTTGCTGATCTTTTGATAGTAAGTTAATTTTTAAATCCATAAGTGATTAGAAATAAAAAAAACTTAATGTATGTATATATGGTTAAATATCATTTTTCAGGAATAGTGTGTGTGGAATGGATTTATCAGTCATTTAGAATGTCATAACATTTTTCACTTAGTTTTAATTTGGGAAGTTTTTCACATTCTACTACAAATTGAGTGAGGGTTGACCTTGGTAGCTTAGTTTCACATTAATTAAGGGATTAAATCGGAGCCAAGTGGTGCACCATTTAGAGCACCTGCTAGCTGAAAGGTCAGTGGTTCAAGCTCATCAGGTGCTCCAAGGGAGAAAGAGATGGCAGCCAGGATCAGGCCATTCTACTCTGTTCTACAGGGTCAGCACACTGGCAGTAGGTTTAGTTTAATTTAGTCATTAAATCTTGCACATGTTCTGTTTGGCTAATTTTTCCTAACAAGGAAAAAAAATGTTATCTGAAATTATCGTTGTTGTGAAGAGTTTAAGCACAATCTATACGTAAATATGTTTATGTCTTTATGGATTTCTTATCAAAGCTGTCCGTGCAGCCTACCGAAACATGAACAAAAGATCAGTTTACTGTTTGATGTAACTTTTAAAAGAGCTATTTTTAGTCATTAACCTAAATTTATATAACAGCTATTTTGATAGTCAACTTTGCAGCAATTTGGCTACTTAAATAAACTTCTTCCCCCCAACACAATTATTGGGTTATATATTGAAATAGGATTTACAGACCGTGTTGTTGTTGTTGTTTTTCATTGAACTCTTAAACTATTGTATGGAACCATGGCCAATCTAGTATTAAAGAACAACACAAGAACATAAATTATTTTTTAAAAATAATTAAAAGGATAACTCTATAAAAAGTAAACATTTCATTTTAAATGTTAATAGTTTTCCATTATAATACCCAGTATGAGAGAGCTTCAAAAATTCAAGGAAAACTGGAACGAAAACACAACAAAATTTTTACATGAATATTTTGAACCCCATTACCTTACAGAAAGGAGCCCCGGTGGCACAGTAGTTAGTTGTTGGGTTGCAAACTGCAAGGTCGGCTGTTCAAAACCACCATCCACTATGTGTGATAAAGGGAGTAGGAGGTTTTCTACTCCCTTAAAGAGTAACAGTCTAAGAAGCTCACCGGGACAGTGCTGCCCAGTCCTTTAGGGGACTAGGAGTTGGGGTCCACTTTATGGCTGTAAGTTTGCTGTGTGGTTTTGTCCCTTCTAAATTTTTCAGAGTTGTTCCGTACATGAAACCTAGGGTTGATGAATCCACAGACAGCCCGTAGGAAAAGGGTTCCTGGGCTTTTAGTGGAGGAGGCTTGGGGAAAGGGGGTGGGGAAAGGGGGTGGGGAAAGGGGGTGGGGAAAGGGAAGCTGATAATCAAGGAGTCAAGAAGGAAGAGAATGTTTGAAGCTGATTGTGGAGTATAAGTGTACAATTCTGCTTGCTGTGACCGAACTATGGAATTACACAATATCTATAGTAGCTCCCAATAAAATGGTCTTGAAAAAAAAATGTTCTTTTCATTTTCCCTAAAAAAATCCTGAAGAATTTGGAAATGACTTTTTTCATGGAATTTATTAAGTGTATTCTAAGAAACTATAGCTGTTATCATTAAATAGTATAACAGCTTATGGTTTAAAAAATTATGTCACATGTAGCACCTTAATCTTTGTTCTTGTAAATTAAATTCACATGGTAAATTTCTATAGGGACAAATAGGGGGGGGATTTGTCTATCAAAAACAAACAAAAACAAATTAGAAAGTACCGTAGTCCTCTTTTCGGCAACGTGAGTTCCGAAACATCAGAAGAATCTGTATGCTGCACATGCTCTCAGCTCTTCTGACTTAAAAAGTCATTGATTTTTTTAATCAGGTGACTTCAGCTGTACTATGTTTACAATTTCTGAGAACTTAAAATTACTTTCAGAAGCCACGTCCAACAGAATAAATCATCAGGGAAGTGTTTGCTACTTTCCAAAGAATTTGATAAGAATATCTGTCTGTTTTGGAATAATTAAGCTCGACCTTTTTCCAATAGAAAGATCAATTTACATTTTAAAAGCCTTATGTCATGCTAGCACTGTGGTTTAAATATTCCTTAATTTCATCTTTAGTTTTCTTTATTTTAAAGAACTGCATTTAAATGAACTGCTTTAAATAAAACTGTGCTTTGGTAATATGAGCCATTTCACATCCATTGAAGCTCGTAACAATTGAAATCATTTAAGACTAGTTTCAGATTTCAGGAAAGAAAGCATTTCTGAATTTGCCTGTGATCACATGCCATGTGGAGACAACGGCCTCATCTACTCATCAGTCAGAGCCTCAAGGACGGAGGGTCTCCGTCAGACACGCAAAGTTCCTGCACTGCGAAGTCACGCAAATGATGCAGACACTTCTCTCCCAGATTTCTTCCTGAAATAGTTGTTGTGGGGATTATGGAAAAATAAGGTATTTAAAGGTCTAGCACACTGAAGGATTAGGATTTATCAGGTGCTCTGCACCAGTGTTGGCAAGAACACAATAGAAAGTGAAAGTGAAATCAGCAAGTTAGGCAGCACTCAATTGCCTTGACCAAAAATTTAATAATTAAAGTAATTAAGACAATTGAAGTCACTCTAAAATTAGGTGACCTCAGTAAATTTCAAATGTACCTCTTTTTCAAAGTGATCAGGACAGTTCAGTGTTTTCAGTTTCTGTGCTTTTATTATTTTAATTTTGAGCATATTTAATTGCTATAAACACATGAAATTCAAAGCATGTTTTCTCAAATCTTAAGTATAATGTTAATGCAAGATGAATAACTTCCTCATAGACATAGCATGCTTTTAGAATTCTAACCAATACAAATAATGAATTTTATAGGCAATCAACTAAACAAAAATCCTACCTTACATATGAATTTCTAAGTCGGTTATTTTAAGTGCTTATATGTACACTCTAAAATCAAATTTCTAAAAAGGAAGCCAGCTCTCTAGTCAGTCTTTTTGAGATTATGTATTTCTGTAACTTAAAAAAAAAATCTTTCTAAGTTAGTTTCCTATGTAACAACAAAAATCAAACCCTGACTGTTGAGTACTGAGGACAGAGCCACAATGGGAAGAACTGCTCCCGATACTTGAACTTCCTGCGATCGTTATCACAACGGTTTGGTATTTATAGTACTCTTCTTCAGATTCTCCTACCAGTATTCGTACCTGATTTTTGTTTTATTACAAGTCTATTTTTTTCCTCACACCAAACTAAAAGTAGAAAATAATTTACTCATTTTTATTCTTAAATTTTCATTTTTCTCTATAATGTTCCATGTAACTAACACTCAAATATACTACTTTGATGTCTTCTCATTATAAGCTTTATGTGTTTCATGATATATGAAGTGGCTTCTTTTTAAAAAACTTATATAGCCAAATATTATAAGTAACATTATTTCTCTCCTTGTCATTATAGTAAGGGTAAATAAACCCATAGTGTATTTTCCTTTGAATAAGATATATTCTACATAATGTTATCTAATAAATAGTGATCACCTTTTAGAAGGTTATGGTCACATAGTAATTACTCATACTAGCATCAACGGAAGTTTATTATAAACCTAGTTCCATTTTGCACAGAATTAGAGTTGCCATCACTCTTCTATAGTCATCCATCTATTCTATCATTACAGACTTTGCTTTGGGTAGGGGTGGGAGGATAAATAAAAGCTTAATGTGAATACCAGACGCTTTAGTGGAATAGAGAAGTTTTAATACAATATGCTTGTAGTATCATTTATGTGAAGATGGGAATGAATACCTGAAGAATAAGAAAAAAAGCATTTCAGTGATCCCTAATCTTAGGTTCTTCAATAATTTTTTTATCTCTATAGGTAAGTCATTTAATAATTTTGATACATGTCTTCAACTGTGTAGTAGCCTGGCTAATGTCAAGCGCGTGCGCACATACACACACGCTGGGATGACCGTGTCCTAATTCCCAGGACCTATGAATGATTTCCGTACAGGGAAAATAGCATTTGTAGCTATGGTTCATGGTCTTGAAGTGCAGAGATATCTTGGAATGTCTAAATGGACCTGAACGTGTCCATATAAGAAAAAGGTAAGAGGAGATATGTCTTCTTAAGAGATGTGACCACTCAGCATCTATTGCAGGGATGCAGCCCGAAGCCCAGGTGTGCTGGCCATCACTAGAAGAGGCGAGAATCCGATTCTCCCTTGGAGACTCCAGAAGAAATCAAAGCTGCTGACACAACAATTTTGAGCTTTTTAAAAACTCTTAAACCTCTTTTGGACTTCAGACCTCCAGAACTATATGAGGATATATGGAAGTTGTTGTAAGCAACTAAACGAGTGTTACATTGTTATAGCCACAATAGGAAAATAATAAAACCTGTTAAAAGGCTTAATTAAATGACTTCTAACATTTTTCTATTATTGGAGAAAGCTATTCTGCACTCTCAGTTTCTTGGTTCTATCTTTCTATCTTTCTTAGCTTAAGTAGAATCATTTACCACTAGCTATTTAGGATGTAACTTTTGTTGTTGTTATTAGTTTGTTGATAGAATGTTATTGATCACCAAGAGGTAGCAACCAATAGTAGAAATCATTTCTTTTATCAAGTTGAAGGAAAACATCATTGGTTTTCATATTTGATTAGCTAATTCAATTAGAAATTCAAAACACTGAGATTTTGCAGAAATCAGCTGCCAGATTTATTAATCTAACCAAAAATAAAAGCACAACAAAAGAAAAAGTAGAATAAAAACAGAATCTGAAAAACAAAACAAAAAACCTTAGAAACATTTCCCAAGAATTTATAATGTATTGGAAAAAAGACTTAATATTGATCAATTACTACTTAGTTCAGTTTATCACTACATTAATCAGCAAAATATAAATTTAAAATATTATATTATTAATACCAGATCTTTTGACTCTTTTAACTCCTGGCCCAATTGATTCCCACTGGCAGACTAGAATTAAAATATTTTTTTTAAGAGGGGAAAAAGAGAAAAAGATCCACAATATAGACCTTTCATAGACCTTATTTTAATGACCCACTTAAACTTTGTTCCTTCAACTTATCCAATTATCTCATTCTTTTTCTACCATTAGCTAGTTATTTTAGTCTGCTCTTAAGTGCTGCAATGGCCACATGAGCACAGTTAAAACAACAACAACAACAACAACACAAAGGTTCTGGTTCTTAAGGCAGAGTTACAGCCCATCATGAGCCTGATGACATGGGATATATATAAGAACAGCCACAGAGAACACGTGTGTTAAATATATGTGTTGAAATTATAATATGTTTTTGAGAAGCTTGAATTTGAATAGAGTTGGGTCTGGAGGTGTTCCCAATAAATATCCTAGTAGATATTTCGGCTGGAGAGGTGGAATACAGGAAGCTGAGGGATCATCTTTAAACAATTTTTCTATGCTTGTTTACATGAAATGCTCCCATCGATTGGATTTGATTTTGTGGTTAGATTTTTCTTTTTTTTAACATTTTGTTATAGAATCTGGGGGCAGGGAAAGTTTTCCTCTGGGATACCCACGGATTGAAGAAAACTTATGTTTCTATCTTGAGTCTTTCAGCAGGCCATTGCTCAACATCTTTTGCTTAATGTCTTTTTCAAAGTGAATGAAACCACATGACCTATTTTCAGCATTTTCTCCAAAAGCAAAGCAAAACAAAACAAAAAAGGTTTGCAACTTTAAATCTTTAAATCTTCTTTCAAACAATTCAATCACATTTACATGAGTGTCTAAAACAAGATGATAGGTACTCCCAGTGCCGGCACTATGTCACACAGCTACTACATCAGATTCGTCGACAGTTTGCAAATACTTTCCATTTCACCAAAAGTTACAGAAGTTTCCAGTTCCCTTTAGCAAGCGGAAGCTTCCTTAATCTTCTTTTTACCAGTGCACATAAAAGCCGCTTAGAGCATAGCATGGCGTAAGCTATTTTTTAAGCAATAAATGGTTTTAGTCATCTATTTTGTCCTGAAATGCTATCTGTAGTTAATTGCATTGCTTATAAATGGTCATAGTAAATTCAGCATGAAAGAGAATATTACAGAAAAGACAGCAGCAGAAGCATTAGCATTATCTAATATTTATATATGTTATCAACATAACACAGCGGTAAAAGGTCTAAATGCATATCAATGGGTACCATGGCTAAAAATTACTATAGTACCTATTTAGTGTATTGGATATTTTTCTTAAGGAGTGCTCGCTGCATCTAGAACAGCTTATATGTGATTTAGTAAAGTTAAATCTTACTGATTAAATAATATATTTATGTATTGAAGGAAGTGAAGAATCCTTTTTTCCCCTCTGTTTTTGCTTTACTGTAATCTGAGATTTAATATTTAACTGAGATCCCAAAGGACAATGACACGTGATTTTTAACTGAAATGGGCTCCGGAATATTGAAAAGAGAGTATGATTTACGCCTAAATGACAAGGTGGCACCAGCTACAGGTAATGCTACTGGCCTGTGACTCAGTTAGGAGCCAGAGTCCAAAATTGTGCCCTTCATTTGTAGTCAAGGTGATTGCCAAACTCCAGAGGAAACCTTCTTTCTGGTTTTCCTCTTTGAGTCATATATAAAGCAGAACAAACAAAGGCAAATGCAATCTCTAAACACCTTTTCACAAGAGGTGCAAAACCAGTTATTTTAACAAAGTGAACTGCCATTTAGAGTAGAGGTTTCTCTTGTACACTGGCAGAGACTCAGAAATCATGGGGGGGGGGGGGGGGCTGCCCAAGGCATATCATTTCTGAGTGGGTATTTCCACAATGTGATTAACTGTACCATAGATACCCAGAGAAAATGAATGTTATCTTATGCTGTTATGAAATCAAACAGACATGATAGAGCTTCGTTATACTTAAAACCTGTAAGACCCCATCCAGAGCCAAAGTAAAAAGTCATCCCTCCCCCGCCCCACCCCCATTAACCCATTATCTTCCTGTTACAGAGAATAAATGTTTAGATTACTCCCACCCACCCACAAATAAAGTGCGCAGTCCATGGCAGACCATAGAATAATGCAACAGGAAAAGGCCCCTCCCCCCTTTCGTAGTATTTAAAAATAAAATACAAACAACAAAAAATTAAAACAAAACTCGACGAGAATCCGGCGATTCTCTGCATCTTGAAAGAGGACAGGTGCGAGGCAGCCCTGCTTGCGAGTCTCTGGTGCTAATAGACATAGCCTTCACTGTAGGGGTGAGGATTGCAGCAGCCGCCGTCAGGCATGTAGGCCAGGCTCTCGTCAAAATGCGACAGAGGGACAGTGTCCTCCTCGTTGATGTGACGCTCCATGTCTGTCTTCAGCAGAGGGCGCTGATTATCGGGAAAGGCCATGGAGAAAAGAGCTTCCGGGTCACACACAAATTTGTAGACATATCTCTCTCCAGCCACCTGATGACAAGGAAGAAAAAATCCATCCCAAGATGGTGAAAGACAGAGAAAGAAAAAACAGAAATGTCATTTAATACACCAGAGGATGCACAGGGTAAGGAAGAAGAAAGGCAATACATTGTTAACATATATTATATATATATGAATGTATATTCTCAAAAATGAAACATCATTCTCATGATGCCAAGTGAACTGCGGCTCAATAGACAGGAATGCCAAGAATACAAAGAAGCCTTCTTTCATGTGCACCTGAGGCAATAAACAGCCGTTCAGATCCAGCAACAAGCGCAGCCCTTGGTTTTAGTATAAAAAAGGCAAACTGCATACATTGTTACTTCTTATTAAAAATCAATAGTTTAATGCAGGCAGCTCACTCTTAGTGGTTAAAAAACTCTGTGTGTGTGTGTGTGTGTGTGTGTGTGTGTGTGTCTTTAAGGTTGTAGTGTCTCTCTCCTGATACCACATTCTGAAATTACGGGGGAAATTCCCAGCTGCAACCCTAAAAGGAACATGTGGCTTATTCCTAACATGGCGAGACCAGTGAGCCACAGGGTGAATTGATAGGTGCTTTTGTTTTGTTTTGTGCTGTATATCATATCCAACCCTCCAAAAAGATACATAACCTTATTTAAATGAAAGATGAATCAAAAGAACAACATAATCCAGCGTGCATCTCTTTTTAAAGTGAAGGCAAGATGCATTAGACAGAAGTTAAGGATGTGTATAAAGTGTCAAATTGAAGTAAGAGGTGTAAAAAAATGGAAGGAATTTAAAATCGATGGTGCATCGTGTGGAAATGAGGTAAAGAAATGTGACAACTGTCTGAAGTAAAGGAGAAGTGGCACAATATATTGGGAATGAGATAACCCAAATTTGAAAATTCTGAAGAGTAATGATTCTCTAAAGAATCTAAACAACAGAGCATGACAAACAGGCCCATATAGTGCTGACAGGCTCTCCAAGAGCCAGGAGGGTGAGGGGGTTTGGACATGGGATAGGGGGGAGGTGGATGGATAAATACAACTGTTTGTGTTACTTTGCCAGTAACTTTTTATGTATGCAGAAATATGGTAATTGAAGAACAACAAAAATGACTCAGCACCTCTGTGCCCCTGTGTAGCATGAACAGCCACTGTAGTTGATTTGTGATGCGGGGGGAGGGGGGGGTTAGTGGCACAGCATCTCAGTTATCAACTATCCATATATATTTGGGGGGAAAAAACACACCAAAGATTACTGCTATTCTGGAGACTCAGGTGTACATGTTTTGGGCCCTTGATTTAATTAGGAGGAACCATTTTAGAGAAACCAAGTAATTTAAATATTCCTAGGTTTGCAAACCATTAACAATAAGTAATTTGTGTCAACTTGGATGTGCTTCTTAAACTGACCTTCAACTCCTTTATTTGCAAATTGTTAGGGCTATTTTAAAGTTTGGGAGGAAATTTCTTGTACTCAGTGTAAGGCAAACAGGAACATGAGAATCATTTATTTACTTTAGTTTTTAAGCTCTTATAGGCGAAGTAATCATAAAAGTAAAATTAAGCAATATCAGAAACAAAGCTGAAATAACAAATTCTAATTGTGCTATTTTTATCTCCTTTATTCAAAGCAGTTAGAAAATAAATAAATATGCTACTAAACTCATTTGGCCAGTGCCGATTGGTTATAATTAGAAATGCTGTGATAAACGAACAATTTTTCACCTTAGGGTTTTAAAATGTGTAATATACAATCAAGATGATAAAAATCTGATAAGGTCTCTGCCTTGATTCACTGTTACTTCTATTTTTTCCAAAAATAAAACTATAGGGCTCCCCAAACCAAAGTGCAATTGAGTCTATGCCAACTCAGAGCAAGCCTCTGTGGGATTCCAAGACTGCAATTATTTACTGGAGTAGAAAGCCCCTCTTTCCCCTCAGAGCTGCTGGTGGTTTTGAACTGCCAATCTTGCTGATCATAGCTCAAGACATACCCACTACACAACCAGGGCTCCCAATGTAGGGCTATTACTATAAGAATATGTTGACTGCTACTGGGGTGACAACAAGAGTTGACAATCAACCAAAGGGAATGATGTCTGTATTTCATTAATAATACAAGTAAAATATGGGAAAGACTATCCAATAAGGATACTGAAATCATAATGGTAAGAAAACAAAGATCAGGAGTTTTGTATGGGAGATAAATCAGAATTTTAAAAGATGGATTTTGAGTCGTAGCTTGCAAGACTGGATATTTAAATTATTTCCAATTTAAAACATTTTAGAATGTAGGGATAGTAGGGGAAAACTAAAAATTATGGAAGAAGCCGTAAGAAATAATGATCTATAATCATACTATTCAGAAATATCCATTACTAAAATATTGGTACACACACCGTTTTTAGGCATTTAAATATTTTGAAGCATAATTACATATACATATACTCTACAAGGCATAAGAAGCATTACTTTTCAGTTCACTACTCTCATAATTATTTAATTAATTACCAGGGTTTTGTTGTTGTTGTTTTGTTTTCATTTGACACCGTTCGACCTGCTTGCCTTATTTTTCCTTTTTATTCTTTCAGTTTTGTCGATACCACATACGCACACACAAATAGTTTTAATTAATGCATAAATGTGATCACATATGAACGTAGTTCTAAAGTATTGTTACAAAGTCAGAGAAAACTTCATTAAACAAACAGGTAAAAATGCACAGCTGTTGTTTCCCAACGTATCCTCGATCTCGATCTCTGCACTTCCGGCAGGTCAACGCGGCAGTTCCAGAACCCTTGAAGCACTGAGACCAAGCTCCTGCTAAGGACGTCTCTGGGGAACCCAAAAGAAGCCTACAAGGGTAAGATCGGAGCTGTCGGTGGGGTAAGGTTTTCCAACGAGATTGCTGCCTCTGGAAAACGAGCAGGAGCACTGTGGGGATGGGAACCGATGCCCTGACACCATTCTCCGGGCATTTCCCCCACTGAGCTAGTCGCAATCGTTGTTCTTCCTCATGAGTTCCAGGGATTATTTTGTGTCCTTCAAAAACCCTGTCAAGACCACCTCTTTGGAATCCCTGGAAACAGTAAGGTGAACCTTCTGAACTGACTTCTCGGTCTTGAATTCAACTAGCCCAGCAGATCATTAGAAGTCACGATTTTGATTGAAAATGCTTTTGAAGGCAGCCTAATGAAAATCAGGCGATTATTTTATTGAGAGAATCTGCGTGCAGTCAGTCACAGATTGCAGACATATGTTCACACATGCTTGTTCGGAGTAACCCTGTGCATGTACGCTGAACTAGAACCTGACTAGAATTTGTTTTACTTAGTCTCTGATATGGTTCCCCTTGAAGGGAAGGGCAGTGCAGAAAACAGGGCATTCCAGAGAGACAGCACTGCGAGTGCAGCAGTGAGAGTGACAGGTGAATCAAGGTCAACAGAGTGTGCAAGAGGAGCAGATACGGCTGCAAAAAAGGCTAAGGGACCTTGACCGTTGGCCTAGTGACACTCCGAAAGGGGCAATCAGACACAGTTGTTTACCTTCTTATGTCAGCTCATGAGGAACTCTAGGGGCACAGTGACAAAAGCCCAGGTAACCAAAAGATCAGAGGTTCAAATCCTCCAGCAGCTCCATGAGAGAAAAATGTAGAATCTGCTTTGACAAAGATGACTGACTGCCTGGCAAACCCTATGAGGCCGTCCTACTCTGTCCTGTAAGGTCACTATGGGTTGGCATAGACTGATGGCAGTGGGCTTGGTTTGGGCTTATCTTAGCTGATAAATAGTCAAAAGGTGTCCATGGACAGTGAGATTCTCATATGAAAATGTTACAGCAGTAAAATTCTATGATATTTAGCAGCATGTTGTCTTATTAGTGTGTGAAAATAAGAGGAAAATAGAAACATGGAAAAGGTGATACTGGTACTAAGAAGAATAAGCTCAACTGCATTCAAACCCTTTTAAAACCTAGTAGGATAACTTGGATACAACCTGTCAACTAACCAATCTAAAAGGTTAGGTGTATTTAGATGTTACATAATACTTTTTCTCTCAGTAAATGGACCTCTAACTTGCATCTCAACAATTCAAACATCACACTTTCTACTTTCATAAACCATTTAAAAAATACCTTATATATGAAGCCAGATAAATTGTGTTTTCTAAATAATAAAATGAGGAGATTACAGCATTTTAAAATAGGGAACTTGAATGACACACAGCCAAATATACGTTGGTTTACTTGACAAGTAGGAAAATTTAGAAGGGTGAGCAAGTGAGAAGCCAGCAACGGAGCCTAAACAAGGTGGCGCTGTCACTACTGTGCACCACTGTCCCCGCACAGTCACGGAGCCACGATTCTGACAGCCCAGGTGATACTCCCCTGAATTAAGAAGATATTGGTTATAAATGAGGGGAATGAGATGTGTTTGAAAGAATATGACTACACATGGTTGTGGAGGGATGAAAGAAAGAGGAATTAAAAATGACTTTAGGATTAAAAAAATAGGAAGAGTGAAAAAAAACCCAAAAACTCCACTGCCATTGAGTGATGCTCTTAGAGTCAAACACCTCTGTGAGTTTCGGAGAATGTGACTCACTGCGGGAGTAGAAAGCCCCGTCTGTCTCCAGACAGGAGGAAGAGGTGGTAGGAACATAAACTTTCTGAAGATGAGATTCAGGACAAAGGAAGCAATTGAGACTCTAACCATTGAAAGTTCTAACTTCAAAGTGGGGATGCTCTGTGGTCTAGAAAATCAAGGGTACTGTTCCCCTTTGTTCTATCACACTTCTCTTAGCAACTGGTTTAAGTTTCTGCAACATTTTAAAAATGTTAAACTGGAACACATAACTATATTCATATCTACTAAAACCAAAAAGGACGCACAGTAAAGCCACTATGCTCATGGTGATAAATTAAAACATTGGCTCCCACGGAAAGAAATTAGATTTTAATACACAAATGAAGCTGCATGATGCAATAACATACATATATTTTTAAGACACTGAAAGCAAAAAGTAAATAAATAAACAAACAACTTAAATAGAGAAGATTATTTGCTTTGTTAGACTCTCCAAATTTGTTTACAGTTATACAATTGTGGAGAATGCAATAGAACTCTAATCTATACAAGATACATAGTTGCAATTTTAATTCTAAAACATCCTTTTATCATATGCAGAAAAGTATGTACTTCAGAATTCTATTGTTTTGTATGCAACACTATTACACATTTGTCTACCATGTCCATGCATTTATAAATAAAAAGGTTTGTAATCCCAAAACCAATAGGTAAGCATATGCTAAAATGAGGAAAAACCTTGCTTCAGCAATGTAATGCTATGTGGCTTCTAAAGTATGACATGCAGATTAATGTGCAACATTTCAATGAATTTTAATGCTGTATTAGCTGCTCACCTTTTGCATGATTCCTTTCTCATAATAATAGCGGAGTGAACGGCTAAGTTTATCATAGTTCATTGCTGGCCTATTTTTCTGAATGCCCCAACGCCGAGCCACCTGGTAGCAAAACAGAGTTACATCGTAATGTTAGCTGTTAGCTTGCCAAGATATTTCATATATTTATTTAATTCACTGCTTCTACACTGTCCCAAACACACCCAAATGAAAGGCATAAGAAGCACAAACTAGCATGATCTCAAATCCCCGTGTCCTGGTTTGCTTTTTAAATAAGACGTGTAGTGATCACTCTGAAAAATCAATAGAATTCTTTATCACTATTGTTCTGGACACAAAATTAAATGGAAATTTGGGGCTTGGGTTTACCGGGGGAATGAGCAACCTAGGATTCACCAGAATGAGGCAAGCTCCCCATTCTGATTGAGATACAGTATCTGTTTTATGTTTTCCTTCCTAGTGTTCCAGATGAAAACTATAGGTCAAGCGGAGCTTCGAGGTCCTGTGCGTAAAGCTGTTTTACTGAGGTCAGCGTAAAGAGGAAGAGATCTTGCTCAACACTGTACACAAGAGTGAACAAGTGGCACATTGTGCGGAGCAGAGGAAACCGTGTACAAATTAATAAACTGAACTGCAAATAATTTTTATTGCCTGAAGCAGCACCAGAATAGAATAGTAGCCAATACTAAAGTGGGGAATGAGGCATTCATTTAACGAACGGTAATTAGATGCTAAAAATAAGAAGGAAGTGGAAAAGGTCACCATGTAGCTGAGTCTACAAACAAAACTCTCTATGCACTGTATTGTTTGAGAGAGCTAAGAGCTTCTCTGGAGTGGCTTTGGAGCAGCAGCTTATCTGGAAAAGAGAGTTCTTCAACAACGCTTTAAGAAGGCCTCCCTGGTTTCAAACATTCATTCCTCAAATATACAATAAAAAGGCTTCGATGTTTTATTGTACTCCCCCAGCCCCCCGCCACCATCAGCTAGCTGAAGTAATATACAGAAGAGTGGAGCCTGCTTGTGCGACCCCCGTGAAAGTCACGTTCTTATTAATTTTCACTTTTTATTAGTCTGAGCAGAAACTGCAGCTGCCAGGCAAACTTAAGCAACCTCAAGAGAGCTAATAGGGTTAGTGTCTACAGAGTTAGTGTCTACAGTCACTAATCTAATAGGGTTAGTGTCTACAGTCACTTCCATGAGATTCCAAGTTAGGTCACAAACCCCAAACAGTGTCTTTCAGAACACACACACACACACACACACACACTCTCTCTCTCTCTCTCTCTCTCTACTATTTTTAGTAATAATCTACTTCCAAGTCCTTTTTAAAAATACTGCTCCTTAATAGTTCATCTTTCACTAATTTGTATAATACAATACAATTTATGGATACCCATCAGTATTCTTTCTAAGAGTTCTGAGACTTGATATAGCAGGTGTGGGATTTTTATATTCAAGCAGGCAGCCAAAGTGATGGGCACAGCCTAATTTTCAAAAGATAAACCACGTTTTAATGTAAATGTTCTGAGCAATAGTGAAATGGGGGTGGTGACAGGACGAAATGGGAGGGGGGTGACAGGAAAAAATGAAAGCAATACATTTTAAGCAAAATGTCTCTAAATAGTCTCACAATAGACACCAGTGAATCTTTAATAGACATAGCAGCTGAACAGCATGTGCACCTGGAGGGTCTGTGAAAATAAATTATTAACATCTTCTTCAATTAAACAACACTTTCTGAAACTTATTCATTTATTAAATGCTTCCATTCTAGAAACTCGCCAGGATGCCTCTAGAAAATATAGTACTTGCATGAAATGTTAAGGTAACATTATGACAGTCCTGGGGAAGGAGAGATGGTCTTTTCATTAATATGATTAACAGATAGTTTGACTTAAATTATGCCTATTAATTTTCAGCTCTGTAGATATTAATAAACATTTTAAATTATTAAAATTATTCTTATAGTTGTTCCAGTAATTTAAATAAATTTGGAGAAAAGGAAAACTTCTTCCATAGCATATGTACAGGATGTAGCCAAAGCCTGCGTTATGTGTGGTCAAAGCCCACATGTAGGATTCAAGCCCCAGGCTAGGTAGATCACCAATCAACGAAGAGAGTCCATTTGTCCTCACATCCTCCCTGCCAATCACTGCTCTATCCCATACCATTAAAAGCCAAGACACAATTCTCAACAAGGAGCAGAAAGATGGTAACATTGCCAATGACTTCCTAATAATACTCCTTCAAATAAAAACAAGCTATTAGCAAGAAGATGGAAAGATAATGCTACTGTGTCATTCATCTCTATTAGCAAATGAACAGGAGGAACATGTAATAGGTCAAGGATCATTCAACTTATCTTTAAACATTACTACTGAACATGCGAGAGTGAACCGTGAACCAGAAGCCCCTATTTAAGACCTCTTGGAAGACTTCTTGGAAACTCTTGTGGCTCACCACGCTTGACTGTCATGAAAGGCTTTTAGACTGACTCTGGTAGAAGTATTATTCGGCTGAGAAGAGTTCTCTGAAGCACTCTCCCAGTTTGGAATGTCACAGTATTGCCTCCTTATCTCAAATGTCCTCCAAAAAAGAAGAGAGGTTAAAGATTATGGTTTCATGGAATTATCCCAAGACATGGGAAGAATTATCCCAAGACATGGGAAAAGGAAACCACTTAGTAGTTGTAACGGAAGGATGACTCCAGAGGGATCCTTCATGAACTGTGGTGCCAAAGAACATCTAAAGAGTGCTTATGTACTCTAGCAAAGAGGGAGATTGCAGACAACATGGGCTGGAGAAATTTCACAGAACCTGTCCAAGATAGAAATTTAAATAAAATAGCACAACGTCTGAGGGAAGCTACTGCAGCAGGGAGCAAAGCAGCAATCAGAAATAGGATGTTTCCATTTGAATAGAGGTTTACGGAGGCATTTAGTGTTTACTGAATAATCCCAATTGAGTTAGTGACTATTTGGATATGGTCTACTGACTCTGAATTACCTGGTCCTTTTTTATGTTACGAGTTTGCTATTGAATAGCTGTCTAAATGCCAATTTGTTGTATAGAACAGGTGTAACTATTTTTTCCTACATTTACAAATCACAGAAGTTCAGGAATAGAAGATGGTTAATACTCATTTGGTCAAGTTTCTTATTCTACACAGTCCCACTTTATCATCATCAAAGTAAACAGTTGCTACAGAGATTACTAATTGTTTCTCTTCCGATCAGATCAAAAGTTATTGAAATAATTTATTAATTCCCCTATTGAAACATATTTTCCTTAAAACAGGCAATATTAACTATTGAGCAGATAGGAATCCCTGTTGGTCATATTCCACCTCACGGTGAACTAATTCTTGTTGAGATTATTAACATCTTTCTTTAAGTGAAGAGCACATCCCATCCCATTCAAAGGCTTTCAAATTACTTTAATGTTAAGTGTTTCTAGTCTCATTTGTTAATGCTTCATTTTCTAAAAATTATTTCACTTACATCATTTAAGCATATCTACATGAAACTAATTTCCATTGACAGTCAAATTAAGCTTCCAACACACTACAAAATTCAAATACCCAAACATTTAGCCTGCACTAGGCAATGGGTCCCTTCAAGTTCTACTAGTGAACATGGGTGCTTGCGTATTTCATGAAGGGCAAAACAAAAGTGATGCTGCAAAGCTATTGATACATGCGGTGGTGTAATTGTTCTCCACCTCTTATTTCATATTTATTGTAATGCATACTCAAAAACACAGCCAGCGGGTCAATTTTGGTTCCTGGTGACCTCACTTGACAGAGTAACGTTCTGCAGATTTGCCTGCAGGTTTCGGAGACTGTAATATTTTTGGTGGTGGTGGGGGGATTCATGGTATTGAGGTAAGTTAAAAATAAATAAAGGAATGACAGTTTTGAAATATAATTCATATTGTCATATAATTCAATATTTTGAACATACTAAAACAGCTGTGCAGTTGTGACAGTACAACGTGACAGCAGCAAAGTCTTCACTCCTCCTGTGGGGCAGCGCATGGTTTCAAACTCCTGACCTTGCAGATAGAAGCCCAACATTTTAATCCCCATTATCTTTTAATCAGATTATTTCTCAAATATTTCTAAAGGATTCGGCCTTATTTTAGGACACCAAATTAAAGCCTGCTATGTGATAGATATAGTTGAATCCATATTTAATAATATAGAAAACTAAGATATATGACCCAATAGCCGAGCCATAGATGTACAGTTTATATGTGACTATTCACTTTGGCTCAAAAATAGCTGGAGAGGTTACTGAAAGTTTTTTACCTTATGAGGTGGTTCAGTTTCTACAGCCAACTTTGTTGATCATAGGCATATTAGCTAAATGTTTCCCATTGCTGTCCAGGCTGATGTATCGTGGAACTCTACTGCCATCAAGTCAATTCTGACTGACAGGGGATCACAGGACAAGTGCTCCACCAGCCAGCCTTTCCTCGCCCAAGGGAAGGCTGGCAAGTAGCCGGGCAATACTCACCACACTGTGCTACCAAGTGAAATGATAGCATAGAAAATATCTTTAATAAGGTATAACTGTTTTATATGACTGTGACTTCCCATAGCAGTCCAAAATGCTACATATGAGTTATGTTATAGTCCTAATAATAACCTTAACTCTGAAGCTAGAAATTAAGGGGAAAAATTCTTCAGGAACCATTTTGTGTGAGTTCCATTTGTGCGTATTATCACCATTTATCCAGAGTCCTCTCCTGTAGATCCTGTCTCATGTACCATGGCAACACTGTAACTTCATATCTATTTCCCAGTAGGTGTTTTGACATGGTTAGTTCAAGTCAAGCCCAGCTGACTTAAAACAGATGTCACTAACAGTCAAAGGGATGCAGTGTTTCTATCAGTCGCCTATCCTCTTAGAGACACTTAAAGACGGAGAGTTTTCCACTGAAACTCTTGCACATCATTGATATTCACAAGTGTTCCTCCTCCACTGCCTTTTGCACATGACTTTGGTTCCTAAATCCTCCTCTCTAACCTTCTTGATAAGATCAGATTGTCCTGTGCAAATAATGGTGGTTATTTCACAAGAACAATTCCTCCATCCCCCAAACTGGCTTAACATTAGCCGACTCTCGACTTTCCCTCCATTGGCCAAGCCCTATACGCATCCAGCCCTCCGTCCCCCTATTAGATGGTTGGAGTCTTCTCAAGGGAAGATCAACATTCTTGAATAAAGGCTTTTGCTCATAATACCTTGCCAGATTTTTTTTTTCTCCCCACAGCAAATTTGTAAAATAGTGTTCCGCTGGAACAAGCATGCAACACTTAATCATTTGAGACTGTACAGATAAACATGTTTCAGTTTGTTTTTGCTTGTTAACTTTTTAACTTCGGTGAATTTCCTTGAAGTTTATAAAGGAAGAGATACCTAGTGTTGCCATACTAATCAAAGACAGCAGTTCCTTTATTTTGTGACATATCTAATTTTCTTACTTAAATGTCGTTAAACCAACCTCTTCGGGCTCAATCAGTTTAAATTCCATTCCTCGACCAGTCCAGGCAATGAAGTGGGAATTGGAAGGGTCATCCAGCAGGGCGACCAAAAACTGCCACAGCTGCAGGGAGCCCCGCCGCTGGTATGTGGGCCCTTCTCGGTACATTCCCGGCTCTTGTTTGATATCCCCTAAATTAAAAAAAGTTAACGTTTCCATTATCATCAGTATTGTGTCACTCACCCAAAGTTTATATTCACTCAATCCATACCATGATTAACTCATGATCACTTTACTGACTTCACTGGTTTCTACATAATACACCATTAGCATGAAATGAGGATTCAGAAGCATTAATTGTTTGCATGAAAGCAGCAATCTGTACAAACTTACAGAAAACTGTATCTAACACAACCAGGTCAGGGTAAACAACTACTCAAAATAACGCAGGGGTGGCATGTATTTGCAAATTTTTGATTAACTTTTTCCCCCACTGATTTCTTTTCAAAGCATGGTATCTAATAGTTTTAAAAATGTCATGCTTTGTGCCATTTCTCATCATGTCGAGCTACATTGCAGAGGCGGTGGTCAATTTAAAGCTCTGGGAATTTTATTTATACAATTAGATTACGCAAACTAAAATCTGTAAACAGTTCAATGACCTGCACATTACACACTATTCAAAATTTTAATGCAAATATCTCAAGGCAAATTTAATAGCATCTAAAACGGAGTTAAATATTCTGACTTTATGTAAATTAAGAAAATCTCTCAGGTAATGGTATGGGCACAGTTCTAGTCTCACATACACGGGGTCACTGTGAGGGAGGATTTGTTTTATGGCAAAAGAAAACAATCCACTGTGTTTGGGGAGATTATTTTCATAACAATGCTACAGGTTTCTCAGCTGGCAGAAAACGAGCTTTCTCTTTCAGTTTTATCTTTCTCTTGCATTGTTGTCCTTTAATTTAACTTGCAGTTATTTTTTTTCATAAAAAGTCCAATGTTAAAACCTATATTTTCCAAGGGGGAAAACATTTTCACTACAATTAACTTATTACCCATATAGAGTGTATAGACCTTTTAAATAGACTATATCAATAAAAGTATTAATGCTGCAACACTCTGGTTTAAATCTGATCAATTATCTTAGTTTCACCAAAACATATTCAGATCACTTACTTCTATCTCAAGCCAAACATCTCAAAGATTTATGGAACTAGTTGAGGGTTGGCTGTGGAGAGAGGGCCTTACAAGTATATCATTGTTGATGAATGAACTTCTCTATTTAAGAAACAATTCAGACACAATATTTTCAAGACAATCTGTTTAAACTAAGTGTAAATTATAAAACAGACAAAAAACACATGCTTTTCAAGACTGGTTTAATCAGTTGATAGACATGTATCTCCTAAAATATTACAGAAAGAAATAACTCTTTAAAAACGTATTTATAAAATCACCCAATCAATAGCTGCTAAAAATCATTATGTTGGTTTTGGTCTCATGATTTTAATGTTTTATTTAACACAGTCTCCTTCTGAGATTCAAAAATTTTTTTAATGGAAATAACTTGGAAATTATGCAAATAGGGTAAAATACTATCATATTGTATAGTTTCCAGATTGGTTCTGTCGATGAATATGAATAATCATACTGTCCATGTATAATGAAAAGCTAACTCGTTTGTCATTTTTCTTGTTCTCCTTCATTATAAAGTACAAGACTTATAAAATACTATCTTCCAAAAGATGTTTTCTTAGTATAAAATCGAAGCATATCTAAAGCAAAAGGAATAAATATCCCCTAAAAAAAAAAAAACCCAAACAAAACACTCCACTACCATTGAGTCAACTCCTGAGAACCCTGTCTGGCAGGTAGGGTCACTTCAAAGGGTTTCTGAGCCTGTGACTCTCAGGGGAGAGAAAGCCTCATCTTTCACCGTGGAGCAGCCAGACCTCCTTTAAGACAGATTCCCCAAACATGGGGCCACGCCGCCCTGTTAGACTTCATCTCGATCCTGTCTATCATTTTGAGATTTTCTTCTTTACATACTCTAATTTTTAAATTTAACATATAAATTGACTCAATGGCAAAGCATATAAGAATAAAAAAGACACTGGTGAAGGTCATGTCAAAAGGTAGAGGTGTTTTTGGGTTTTTTCATATTGCATTTCGATAATTGTAATGATCTGCTAATGGTACTAAATAGCACCATTCTCACTTCTAAAACTCAAAGCCTGAAACTTTCCAACCCTTGTAACATAAGCCTACAATAAATGACCCTTTGGGGTTTTTAACCTTCGACCTTGAATACAGTTAGCCTTTTAAAGGGAGGCGAAGGAAGCAGATCTCCCCAAGACGTCACCATCTCTTCTGAGAAAGATAAGAATAGCAAAAAAGGTTGGGAATGTGGAGCAGTCGTCAAGAAACTAATTAGGGATTAAAAAGCAATCCATGCAAGTACTTTGCTGCTTAAATAATGGCAATTAAAACTTCTGAGCGCTCCCAAGTCATTACAGCCATGATCCCCAAGTTTGTGCAATCAGCTAATCAGAGGGCCCCTGCTCGTTTCCTGTTGAACAATCAAAACAGGAAATACAGAGACCACGCTGAAGGACCACTAAATCAATGAACTCTTCACTTTTGACCCCAGCCTCCTCATAGATGCCAACTTCTGCCACCTTTGTCAAGGAGAGAAGGTTCCATCTAACTCATACCTCGTCCTAACATCTGGGAGCTTTTCCTTGTAACAGTGAGTGATATTAAAAGGCCAGGCTTTCCAAACTCCCTTTTAAGCAATTACAAAGTAATGCCACATTAGCAATATACATCTTCCCAGGGAGGGAGGGAAAAAAGCGGGACAACCTAACACTCACTAAACTAACTGGGCAGCTATGTTGTTCTTGGGCGCCGGAATGCATCTTCTCGTGAATGATAAACGCACGGAGGCAGCATTCGTCCTCAGGACATCCAGAGTAGCCTGCTTTCTGCTCTGCTTGGTTAATTACAGGATCAGTTTTCAATAAATCTCAAGAAACAGGCTGCCTGTGCTCGTCAGGGCCATGGAAAGCCTGCTCTTGTTCCACAGAATGCTCAGCAAGGAGGCCTTTCTTTGGAGACCACCTATCTCCCAGAATGGATCTCATACAGGGACAAAGGGGGTTGGGGGGCGGGGGGTGGCATTAAATGGAGTTGGAGAAAGAGAGGTTCTAGAAGGTGATGGTTAGCTAGAAACGAGGTGCATTAAGTGCTGTGTGTAGAAATCTCTAAGTCGGAATGCCAGCCGTCTTCAGGACAAGCCCCAACCATCCTTTCACAAACATCAAAACCCGAAGCACACTGCAGAGCCTACCGTCAAATTTCTCTGGGACAACGCAGGTATCATCATAAAATTGCCTGGGGCCCTTTTCAAACATACAACCTGTGAGGGGAAAAAAATCGATCACATTTATTTATGATCAAAATGAAGCTCACAAACAGTTTAAAATGGAACGATTAGCACAGGAATTGTGGTAGTGATGGCTGCCACTTCTTTGCTGGGTGACCCTGGAAATACTAGTTAACCTCTGTGTGCCTCTATTGCCTCATCCGTAGCATGGAGACGATAATAGTATCTACCTGATAGATTTGGTGTGAGGAGACACGCAAGCATAAATGGTGCCCAGCACAAGCACAGAAAATGATATGTAAGATTAATAACACCATCATTATTGCCCTAACCACAGAACTCGTGTAAGCAATGGGAAACCTAAGGTTCAAAATGTATCCTCTCCTTTACCAACTTCTTCCTAAATTCTTTCTCAAAGAGAAGACAGGGAAAGAAATGAGATTTATGTGATCTGGAACAGATTTGTCATAAACTCTTTATTTCCTTGTAGAAATATTGACTTAGGCAATTCTAACATTTTCTAATATTTTCATCTCGAATAACCAAAATAGTGAGAGCCAAAAAAAGGATAAAATAAAAGAACAACTTTCCTTTTTCACAGTAACATAATAGGTCCACAAAAATCTCAAAGCTGAAAGTTTTCCACAATAATTTTCTCCTCCCCATTTTCTTGATTTTGGACCTGATTCTAAATGCGATTATCTTTAATCAACAGGAAGCAATTTCATATAGTTTAGCCAGTGTTTCATTCCTTCGATGTATGGATTTCTATGATGAGTTATAGACTTATCAACTACAGCAACAAACGATCATTGCGATGCATTTGCGCAAGACTTCTAGATCTCGATTATTTGGATTTATAATCTCACCCTCTAGAGGGGGTAGGAGAAGATTGCCACGTATTCCTTCCTGGGAGCAGATGGTAGGTTACAACATGCACCTTTTGGGTAGCAGCACCAAGTGCTCACACACTGGAGCACCAGTAGCGCCCTCCCCTTCATTCTACCACCCTTCAGATGCAGGGATTCACTTAGAGTGATATGCACCCCTGATAATCAACGCCGGACCGAACCTCATAGAAAGCATCTAAGTCAATCTTAGTGAAAAGACATAGTGTTTAGGTCAAGAACCATGCACATATTTCCAGAAATACTTTCATGGGGATTATACCCAGATGAAAGCAGCCTTATCCGTTCCCTAACAGGTTTCAAATTCCATCAGTGAAAAGCTTTCCCTCCATGGTTACCATTTACACATCCACAATAAAAAATAAAATAAAAACTCATTTGCTTGGCCTCATATGAAATCCCATTCGTAAGAATTACTTATCCAAAAAAATGTAAAATCCAGGATATCTTTATAAGATGAGCTCACTCACACTTTTACATGAACTCTGTTATCCTTCAACACTATGACTGAGGTCTGTAGGGTAAAACTGAATATTCCTCGAAAATACATCTCAGTAGATGCAGAAAGTTACTAACCTACCAGGCATGTGTTCTATTTTAGAAGGATGTGGTTATTGGCATGAAAGAACAGAGAAATCCACTTTTCAGCTGTTTATGAGAGTATGACTCATGTTAACAACCAAATACAAGATGTCGTGACATGGAAAATCTTCCTTTTAAATAAAAAAAATATATAAAGTCTTAAAATAATAGTTAGGGTAATGTAATGATTTTTCCATAGATTACTATGATTAAGTAAAGTGACCTCAGTCTTGAGATATTGATTGTTTTTATTGGAATTTACAAGGAATCTCAATAATAGAAAACTAACCTTCTGTCCTGCTGGGATGAGCCAGAAAACCTTCTTGCCGCATATAAATGGAGTGGCAGCTAGGCACTTCTGAAAAAGGAAACAGCATTGGTCAGAGGCATCTGGAGCTGAAAACGTGCTGTTCTCACAAGGAGGAAACGGATACCAATCCCCATGAAGGGAACCTGTCAACACAGAGATAGCACTGCAGGCCTGGCCCACACAAGAAATGGCGGCGAGGAAAGTACGTTGTGATTCAGGGCTGATTCTCTTGAACAGGTACAGAAAGGTACCTAAGTCAACCCTGCCAACATTAGGGTTGTGTCACTGCGACAAACAGCATCACAAGAGTGTGATTGTGTCCCGGGAACAATCGGTATCATTTACATTCATAATTTCATAACCAATTGGTATGTATATAGTCTTCTACCTAAAAAGCAAAATCTAGCTGTCCATTCTTAGTTTACTTCATGATTACAACAGATGACTGTAAAAAGGTAAAGACACTATGAGGCTGTCTCATAAAATGGCTCTAGCCTTCTTTCTGTGACTAGCTTTTCTCTTTCACTTCCCCTCCTTGCCCCCTGATAAAGTCATGACAGGCCTTCCGTACTGTGAGACATACTGATCACCTTCAAAACTCGTGAGACTATAAAGCAGAAGTCCAATGAGCTCACACTCTTATGACCCAATAGGAAGGCCCTGCCAAGCAGCCAGGTGAACTCATCATTTAATATACAAATCTGGTTAATGGTGTCACTGTAATCATAGTGAAGGCTCTGTAGCTAACAGATTTAGCAGCGTCCCCAAACTAAGCACTCTGCCATCAAGTGGATTTTGACTCCTAGTGATCCCACAGGACAGGCTAGAACTACCCTCGCAGGTTTTTCAGACTGTAACTCTTTGTGGGAGTAGAAAGCCTCATCTTTCTTCCTTGGAGTGGCTTGTGGTTTTGAACTGCTCTCCTTGGGGTTAGCAGCCCAATTTGTTACCCACTATGCAACCGGGACTCGTTTTGGTAGCTTAGCTACAGGGAAAAAGAAAGATATAATGGATTAAGAAACAAGAAGTGAAATTTCAAGTCTTTCATTTTCTAGTAATTAGCTAGGTCATTGTGAGCAAAACATTTTGGGCCTATGAAATAGTGAGTGTAGGTCATATACTCTCCAAAGTCGGTCACAGCACTCAGATTCCTTGATACTGAACATAGAAGTTCACCAGAGGGGGACATGGGGAAGCCAAGAAACCTTAAACTTCAGAGCCTTTCACTTACATGAGTCCCTTCTGAGGCTTATAATTAACTTCATATTTGCATATTCATTTTCTTTTTAAGATGATTCCCCACATTTAGAAAATTTCAAGCCCCACATAAATGTTTCACCATACACATACATAAGCTTTGTAGGAATTTGTATGCATGAGGAGGCTTCAAAATATTTGTAGAACAATCTCCTTGTCTTTTAAATGCATATTGCAAGAGCTAATATTTTTAAACATCACATACAGAAATAACTATAAACAGTATGTGATGAATGTGCTACTTAATAGTATAAGATCATGCCCTCCTTTCTGCCAATTTTAAAAGGCACATAACGTCTGAACAAATAAAAACTGGGATTATAAATGAATTGGAATCTAAAGATCTTCTTGTCTTCATAAGTATAAATTTTCTTGCTGTAATAGAGACTTAATACTGTTTGTTCAGCACAGATACAGTTCTTGATTGGTCTAGCAGTTCCCTTTTGAAAAGTATGACTAAAGAAAAACTGTACTTGGTGATGGATGTCAATCAACACAGGAACCGTTTCATAGAACTTACCACATAGACATCTACCCCAGTACCAAATATCCTAACTTCCATTGGTCATTTAAACTGTGGCGGCCACTTTTCCTAATTAGTAAAGTGAAACCTTCACTTTCACAGAGAAGAAGGATGTATTTTATGTGGCTCTATTTTTTAAAATTTTAATGAGAAGCCATAATGTCATCAACATTTAAGTTTGCGGGAATCAATAGTTTACAAGTTGAAAATATTGTGAAGCTCCTTTATCAAACACATGGCTATGCCACCATCACTCTCTGTAGAACGTGTTCTATGGCATAGGGTTCCTACGCTACAAAATGCAGAGTTAATCGCATTTCCTAACATTGGCATTGATCTTTGGTTACCAAAGAGCTAGCAATTTGTTTAATCTGACCTTTTTGGCCAATGGAACTGCAAACTATTTTTTAATGTTATTTTAATTTATTGCCAGCCAGAAGGTCCCTGGAAGCAGCTGGGTTGGAAGGGACAGTGTTAATGACTCTGCCATCAGGTCAGCAGCTGCTTAGAGGCAAGCATTTTGTTGTACCAGTGTTGACACCTTGCCACAAAATACTTTTACTGACTGCTGCACAGCTGGAGCGTGGCTGTAAAAGCAGCTGGCTGGCTTTGGAGGCAGCTCGAGGAAAACACACAGGATAAATTCTATTACCTACAAGTGTGACCAAATGTAAGTTTCCCTCCCCAGGGGCTGAAGAAGCGGGAGGAGGAGGGAGAGAGGAAATGCAAGCATTGGTGAGAAACCTACTACTTGAGGTTGATGGTAGACTACATAAAAGTGTTCTAACACAATTTTAAAAGTTAGCCAACTCCTAGAAAACTAGACAGGTGACATCAAAGATAGAATTTGACTGATAAGTCCACAAATATTCACGTTCTATTGAGATGGATGATTTGTTGTTTATTGCTGTACTTTGTAATATTATTCAGTCCATTAAACTATAACATTCGGAATATTCCGATTTAAAATTCACAATGTTCGTGATTTATACTAAGATGAAAACCAGAATTTCCATTAGGTTTCCAAAAGCCCAACTTGTGACCCAAGTTATTATTTTTTTAAAAGGGAACTTAATGGACATTTAGAAGGAAAAAGAAAAGACATATGAGAATACGACTGCATTTTTGCCAATTTGAATACTTTTTATTGCACCCTAGGGTAAATCAAACTAACATGTAGCTCGTGAAACTGATGCACACTTGCTGGCATTGTTTAAACTCAGTGTCTTTTTGTGACTGGAGTTCTTTATACAATACACAGAAGCCTGAAAAAATATAGTGAAGAGGAGTTTATTCCTATAAAGTAACTAAAGTCATGTTATTCTAAAGTGATATCAGTTAATTTATGATGATCAGAGTGGGTCAGACTCTAATCAAATTGTAGAAACATTTCCAAAGTGATTATTCAATCAAATGACTAACATGGTTAATTAGGAGCCATAAACATTGCTCTGAAGTTCATCAAAGTAATGACTTGCCCAGAAAAATTACTGCTAATTAAATTGCCTGCTGCTTTCATTTCTACCTTATCTAATAAAAAATCCAACCAATGAAGTTTGGCATTACATTTTAAGTTTTGCTAAATGCTCAAGGAAGACCCAAACTGGCTTCGAGGAGACGTAAAAGGCAAATGTTTTGTGGAAAAAGAAGCATGGTGTATGTATTCATTTGTATGTGTGTTCATAGAATAAAATCTACACTCATAACATTTCCACTATGTGCAAATGTGAAGATGATGCCATGTTCCTATTGCCTTACTACGCGGCCATCGATGATGAGTCTAGGGTCATAACTACGGCACATCTGCTAAAAAGCAGACACCTTGTCATCTAATAGATGGCTTTCGCCCTCAGTTCTGATACTTCCTGGGACTAGGCCACTGGGCCAATTATTTCACAGCTCCAAAACCTCCACTTCTTCATCTGTGAAGCAACAGGATAAACATAAAACCCTGTGAAGGGTTGCTGAGAGGGCTCCTAAGGGGCAAAACAAACCTCACTGCCATTGAGTTGAAACTGACTCATAGGGTAAGGCATCCTATGGAAAGGAGCCCTGGCGATGTAGTGACCGCAAATGGGACTGCTTAACCCAAAAGTTGTTGGTTCAAACCCATCAGTCCCTTCATGGGAGAAAGAAGTGGCAGTCGTCTTCCATAAAGATGCCAGTCTTGGAAAACTAAGGGGCAGTTCTACTCTGTTCTATAGGGCCATGGGGAATTGGAACCGATTCAGTGGCAAAGGGTTGAAGGCATGTGAAACATTTCCCACAATTCCAACACATAGTGAGAATTAACATTTCCTATCCTTATTTTTAGGGATATAATCTATTTTTAAGTGAACCAAACAAGTTTTTAAAGGCAAATTCTTCTCAGTGCTTAAAACAATGATGAGTTGGGTCATGAAGTAAGTTATTTTTGCTATTTTAAAATCACCTATCTTTGGACAGAGCTGTTTTGTTTTATTGTTATATTTACTGTTTTTCTTAAATCTATGAATTCATCAGTTCTACTTGAAATCTATGGACTTAAAAGTTATAATAAACTCATAGATCATAGAAGGCTTAAGGCAGAGTCACCCTTAAAGTTTTTAAATCTTTGGGAGTATCTCTTTTTCACTATTGAAATGATTTCTATGGTATTGCCGACTGATATTTAGCTTTTAGTTCAATCTTTATATTGAATTGTGTAAATTTAATTTAGGACAAAGCATTTTTACTTCGTTTGAAACTTGCGGATCAGAGAGCTCTATAACACGACATCAGTATTGTACCAGATCAGCCTGCAGAAACGAAATGGCCTATAATTTGTCGCAGATGAGTTCCTGGTGATGAAAGCTGATCTAATATGCTGCAAAAATTCAAAGCAGCAGAGCACAGTTGTCATGTCATTGTAGGGAAAACCAAACAAATCATGCTACAGAAACACTACACCCTGTCGATTCAGACGAGCCTGCACCTTTGCAAACCTTTCTACAGTTTTCAAATTAACACATGTAAGCATGATATCAAATGAAAAAAATAGAGTAGTCAAGTTCATTTCTCTACCTTGCCTGGTGTCTTACAGCTGTGTTAGGGAACGTGATACCGGCTTTGGAAAGTGTAAGACTTTGACCCAAGTGAAGAGCTAAATCTGCGCATTAATATTGGTGACCCTTCCCTCATTTGCATATGTGCTGCCCCATGGCAAACACTGAAAACCGAAAACTCCCCTTCGGGCTCTGGTTTGCCTAAAGTTTATAAGACCTACAGGGGCCAAAGGGAAGGGAAAATA